TGGAGGTTTCTGCTAATAAAAACATTAATAAATAGGTATTGCTGACATCATTGTCCTATACTGCTGAAGAAATTCTTCTATCTATTCAAAATGTTTCTGTCTCTTTTTAATTCCTATGTTATTTTTCTGAAATAAAATAGTTTTTTAATTGAAACAGATTTTATAAAGTCATATTTTAAGCTTTGGGATTGGGTTGTACTGTGTTTGTCTCTTCTGTTGCACCATTTTAATAAATTGTAATTTAACTTAATTTGTGTGATTGTTTTTTTCCTCATCTGGTATAGAATGGATTAAACCTGATGTTACTAAATACTACTAAATACAAATCTGTTGTATATATGTGTGCGTGGAGCATTCAGAAGCAATGGGTAATGCAAGGAACCTAACAAGAACATCTAATTGTTCTTTTAACTACTTGGAGCTTTAGCATTTTCAATGCCTGCTGTAGAAAGCCGAAATGGGATGGGCAGAGCCTGAGTGGGATGCTTTGTGGGCCTATTGAGTCAGTCTGATCCCTGCTGAGAACTCTCACACCTCTCCACCCTCTGTGCCCTAACCTGAGGCTTCAGTGGAGGGCTTGCCTAATGAATGGGGAGGAGTGCAGACATTTCAAGTGTTGTCGCTCAGTTGTCTTTGTCATTTATTGGTAGATCCCAACATTGTTGATCACAGGCAGATCCCTCTGTAAAAGTTAATGGTGGTGAATCGCTTGGCATTTGCTGATTTGTTTCTTTATTTATTTATTGTTTTTCACAAAACCTTCTCTGACACTGTTTTCTAATAACAAATGAAACCTTTTAAAATTATAAAACCAAGCTCCAACAAGTACAAACCCACATGATTTATTTTGTTATAAAAACAAGTTAGGTAAATGATCATTTATAATGTTGGAAATATTGTATAAGCAATTTATTGGTTATGATCTTTTAGCTAAATATTGTTTTTTATTGTATTGATTTAGATATATTAAAACTATTTGAGCTCACCTTATTTCTGCTTGCCATTCTTTTGACGAAATCTACAACACCAGAACACCAAAATAAAATTGCATTAATATCCCCGTTGCTGAATCTCTAAGAGTAGGACATAACAGAATCTCTCTCCTTCTAATCGGTCTAGAAATGTTGTCTTTCACGACAAAATATATGAAAAAGAGTTTCAAATTTTCATTACCTTTCCTTAATAAAAAGTTATGTCAGACAGTTTTAAATGTTATTCAAAGTCGTTACACATTCCATGAGGTTTTCAAGTAATATTTGCATACTTTTCTACAATATTATGGTATACGGTATGTTGTTGCTCACGCGTGTGCATGCGCTTTAAAGGATTAATTGTATTTACATTTTATGACTGTAAATATGCACAAGTTTACATAAAAATTGCTATACATTACTTATTACTTTTCAAATGCAATTTGAAATACTACGTAAGAAGGCAATATTTTATTTTTTCGGCACAATAGTTGTTTATAGGCTTGTATTAATGGTTGGATTTTGGTTAATGTTAGCAATGTAGGTTGCAGTTGCGTTATTGATTCACTTATTTGCAAACAATTAGTTTACTTTTAAAGACTAAGCATAGTACAGTTCTCAGGGAAATCCCCCAGGACCATGTTAACACCATGACCTATGGGTTAAGAGTGTTTGACCGGTGTTTGACATTTGACCTAACATACATGTTATCTTATCATTCCTTGCTTGTTAACGTGTATTGATTACCTCTCCCCAGTGACTTCTGATAGACCCAAACCTTTTGTTTGAATTAGGCCTAATCATTGATATTCGTTTAATCATCCTGACATTCTGTAATTTTTGTGCTTTATGATAGATAGATAGATAGATAGATAGATAAATAGATAGATAGATAGATAGATAGATAGATATTGTTAGCTGATTAATGTGATAAGTAAGGCGCCTCTTTTATTTAAATAATAGTCCGAAGTTTGGGGTTTTACAAATACAAGACACTATGAATCTGATGGAGAATAAACGTCCGCAGAGTAAATTTTTTTTATCCGCTTGTTTTATAACGCACTATTATCCGCTAAGTTTGTGTCTATGTTTCATCTAGTGGAACTATAGCAGATGGTTGGATGTCAAATCGGTGTAGACCTTATACATGTGGGATATATGTGATAAAATCTATAATGATGGCCAATTATTTAACAATAAATCTACAGAAATATGATCGCTGTGATCTATTCTTGTTTCAGTGTGCGTATTCTTTATTTACAGATAGACTACTATATTTAAAAGTACATTTGTCATTAGCAATTTTTTTATGGTTTATCGTTGATTTTCACTTTATTTTAATTTTGTTCTCAAGGATTCCTCTTCTATATTTCCACTAATTTTGTCGTTATTATTATTAAAATTATTGTTATGCTTTAGAGTTTAAAACAATCTTTCTTGAAACTCTTACTGAATTACAAAAGTAGAGGGAGTCAATGACTTGGTTGCTCAGAGCAGGAAAAGCTATTCACTACAACCACGTTTGTTTTGTTTTCCACCCAACCCCCAGCCCCCATCCTTGTATAAAAAGTTTCATACTGAAGAACGAGCTTCAGCATAGTGTTTGGGGAACACAGGATGACAACTTACTGAAAGTTCTCAGGAATCATTCCTGTTTCACACTCCACTAGGCAGCTGATTTGAGATTGTGTGTTAGCATAACAAAGACCCAGAGCCTGTGAACTTGGGGAACCTTTCGACCCCGGAGTTCCCAGGATGAATAGCCCCCAGGCCTGCCTATAGAGATCCTCCACAGCATCCCTGTTCGTGGCTAAATTGTTAATCAGGGTAATTTAATATAGTTTTCAATATGCCTCATCTCTTATTGGGAAAGCATTCACAGCTCCCTGCCCCCACATCTCAAAAAAGTCCCCTCTATTCACTCAAGCAAGACGGGCAGCTGCAGACTACGACCCTCTGAATTGAAATGTTTGAATATCAACAAAACTGAGGAGAGTCTGAGAAAAGATGGGGGGTTGGGATGAACAGGCCTGGGGATTGTTCTCTAACTTGAACGTGAAAACTGCTCAAGCATGCCTAACCCCCAGTCAAGGCAATGGGGAATCTAAACTGGGTTATATGTATGTATGTATGTATGTATGTATGTATGTATGCATGTATGTATGCATGTATGTATGTATCCTGAACTTGTTCTAATTTAAGCATGGCAAACATATCTATCTATCTATTTATCTATCTACATATCTATCTATCTATCTATCTATCTATCTATCTATCTATCTATCTATCTATCATCTGCCTGCCTGTCTGCCTAAAAATTTGTATGTAGCACGTAATTAATTCCAATCCTATGCTTCTACTTTAAGCATTTTGGATTTGATAACGTTTGGCAGAATTCTTCACAAATACATTGCTTTACAATTTGTCATTTACTGTAGTATTTAGCTTTTTCTCTACATATGGTTCATGCTAACATTATAGTAGGATTAATTTAGTTACTTTTGTGACCTTGGCACTGTACTTCACTTATAAAATATTACATTTCAAATAAATTAAATGCAGCACTACTGCCCTTGACCTTCTGAACTGCCTAAATAGCCACCACAGTGCATCAGTTTGAAAGCATATGCCATTGGATGGTTACTTAGTTAGTTAATGGATTAATTAATGCAAGAAATGTAGGTATTACATTTGTGAAAATTATTATTATTATTATTATTATGCTTTTTCACATGCATGACTGAATAACTAGGTTTACTCGGTCACACAATGTAATGTAACAATGTAAATATTACATGCTTTTGTAATTTTTAAAGTGCTTTATATGGCAGTGCAAAAATTGGATTGATTAAAAACAGTAATCTGTGAGCTCATTACAATACTGTACATAGGAGGAAATGCAAGCTGGATATTTAGTTGTAGTAAAGGACTTAAATTTATTGGTGAAATATGTTTTAGTGATGTAATTTGTATAGATACCATGTTTACAGTGTGACATTGTGCTTGCAATTGAGATATTGAGATATTTTTACTTGAATGCAAAATACTTACAGTATTTGTAGAAGTAGTGAGCTCTATACATGAAATGGAACGACTTATCTAAATAGGCCTGTTGTTGCTAGGGTAATCTTCTACACTGTAGTATGTCATTCTGTATTGGGAATTGACATGGATCCCTTTTAGTAGCAGATGAATAGGAAAGGACAATTAACAAACTACTTAGCATAATGGACAATGAATCGCACCCGCTGCATAATTCCCTGATTAACCAAAAGAACATGTTCAGCAACGGACTCAGCCAACTGTTCTCTTCTTGGGAACCGTACCTGAGGATTTTTCTGCTAGCTGCCATTAGACTACAATGAGTTTCTCATCTATCTATCTATCTATCTATCTATAACAGTTTATTTCACTGACTTGTCATTCAACTTTAGAAGTAGTATGAATTTAAGATTACATATATTTGTCATGGTGCAGGACAAGGGGAGTGGCCGCAAGAATCAGAACAATTGCTTTACAGCCCCTTTGGGAAATACCATGCAAATCTGAGCGGAGTGATATGGCAGCGTCTAGACAGTTTCTTTTTGTTCTTCTGTGCCATATTGACCATTTGAATACATACATTTGAACCTGACTTGGACACACAGCACTCTTCTGGTTAGTACTAGGGACAGGAAAATACAGGGCAAGCCTCACCGAAACCAGGCTTAGGGTGAAAAATAGTGCATCCAAATAAAGAATATTTGGCTTCTCTCTGAATCAAAATCAGTCAAAATGCAGGAGTAACAAAATACTTGCAAAATATGCTTCATTTGCAGATGTTTGCTTAAATTAACTGAAGTTGGTATGGTAGTACTTTATAAAATTAAAAGTCTAGACATTTTTGTTTACTTTTTTTAGGAAAAGTATTTATTGAGATGCAAATTTCCATCCCGTGGCTGCCATTTGTATTATCACATTTTGCCACTGATTAACAAAAAAAAAGAAAACAGTTACAATTTATCACCTGAAATATGAACACATGTACCTATATGTAACAAAAATATATATAAGAAAACAAATGAATAGATAGAAGCTGCCCTGCTGGAAAAATCTCACTGTTCACTGTAGCCTAACCCTGAAATAGTCTGGGTTCAGTGCTGCAGGGAGCATATTAATTGAAAGGCAGAAAGAATTTCACTTGTTTAAACCACGGAGCTGCAGGGCTCTCCAGGAAAATAAAAGGGTCTCCCAAGCGAGGGGGTTAAACAGTGAGATGTGACACTGCTAATAGAGGAGAGCCAAGGATGTGCCCCAGCCAGCGCTCCCTCTCCAAGTCTATCACAAGGCCGAAGCACATGCATTTTCAATGTTCTGTATCTCAGCTCACTGAGGCTGCACCCGTGGCTTTGTTGTTCATTCTGTGCTGAGAGTGCAAACAAGGAGGTTTGTGAATCCCATTTTTTTTAATAAATTGACAGAATGAACTATATACAGTGTCAGCCGGCTGGTTTTAGGAGCTTGCCTTTTTGATACACACAAGAGTTCTTGAGGGCAAAGTTGTCCTTCCTCTTGGTTCCTCATGGAAAATAAAACAATAAAATGGTAAAAGTAGATGGTTCATAATTTTACGTAGCATGTGATGCTTTCTTTAAGCTTACATTGCTAATTACCAAAGTTCCATTTACATACAGTAAAGAGTTTTATTCCAGAGTTTTCATAAAATCGGTCCACTGCTAGCACATTAACCTGCGACCTCTCTGTCACAGTTTTTCCACCTTGAACACATTTGCTTCCTGCTGACCGTGATTTGCCTTTAGACAGATATGGCTATTTTAGGCAAGATTTAATAAATGAAATAAAGTGAGAATGGGCTTAGCAGGGTGACTGCACCAGCATAGTTATTTCACCTATAAAAATAACAATTTGTCCTGTTGGTTATATTGAGCCCTATGATTTAAGTTAGAGGTAATTTCTGCTCAAATAAAAATCTCAAGAGCAGTTGCTATACTAACTGGGTCATCTATACAATTTACCATTTTTAGTTTATGGTTTACTATTTTTTACATTTTTTACCTAGACACACAATAATATTCTTCACTTCACTTTAAGAAATAGAATTTCAATGTGGAAAGTTTTGACATGCATTTATCAAATAATACTATCTATCAGGGCATTGTAATACATTTTAGTAAGAAGTAACGAAAATGCACTTCTTTAGCTTATTTCATTGCTTCAGAGGATTTCCTATTGTTATTAGCACAAAAGTTGTTTTCAATCAAAGTTCTGTTGTGGCAAATCAAAAATCCATAACTTTCTTAAAACCTTCAGCATAGGTCAGATAGACTATCCCAACAGAACCTTAACATCCCAAAGGTCAAATTCATGCATCAAGAATTTTTTTAAAGTGCTGAAATGAAAGAATTATAATTTTTAGGAATATTACTGTGGATCAATCCAACCTGATTTTGTAATAAAGTGCCCATTTCCAGTGCTGAGTCATGTCTTTATTTCAATTCAGTTGTTCTTGAGAAATGCAACAGTGGTTTCTGCAGTTCTTATTTAAATGGTGGGGTTCTTAATCTAAAATGTTCAATAAATCTTGGTTTAATATCAATATATTTAGTGAAATAATATTTAGGCAGATATTTATATTCTAAAAATGTTTTATCAAAAACTGTATTAGAAAATCTGAAGGAGACATCAAGTATTTTGGAAAAGTAGTGAGCTGAGTTATTATCACTTTTGCTGTGGAAACATTACCTTTGCAATTTCTTTAATAGGAGAGCTATTGATGGATCTTCCAGTTTTAGACATAGGCACAGATACAGTAATGTAAAAGAGAACTTCATCCAAATATACTGACCAGAGCTTTTGGCTTGTCATGTGCTTGTCATGTGCTTGTATAGGTTTTCTTTGAGACATACTTGACTAAAGTCTTGAATTTCTGCAAATGTAAAACCATATAATATATAGTGAGCCTATACATTAAAACTATATTAGTTGACCACATTATATTTGACTGCTATTTAACCTCACCAAAAAAATCAATACCTGGATATTGTGTGCAGGTATTTTTCATTTTATACGGATACAGAATCACACACTGTTTAATCCTGGGAATAATACTGCAGCCCCAAAGGATGTGTAATTGTGAGTATGTTACCACCACAAAAATCAATCCTGCTTTTGTCCTGCCTATATAGATCATTCTGATCACAGCGGCTAATCCAACAGCTGTGAGGTAATCAACAATATGATGTAATCTAACAGAAAATATAATAGCAAGACAGGAGCTCATATGGGCACAGAAAAGGAGATGTGGCATATGCATCAGACCATCTCTCATCACAGATATCCAGTTGCTGTACATGATATGGCATGGACCAATTAATGACACGGTAGTGAAAATGGGCTGGTGCCACAAAGAGTCATAAAGAATCATATCTGACAACCTTAGCACACAGACTAATGCAAATTGGATAGGAGCTCCAGGTCAAAACTTTGATCACATTTAACAATTCTAAATCTGAAGTGAAACAATGTGACTATGGGAATCACACAACTGCTCTGATGAGAAATGCAAATTGGAAATTTATCGCAAAGGGTTTGAAAGGAGTACTTGCTACATAAAAGTAAGTAAAATGAACAATACCCAGAACAGTGGAATGGTGTTTTGCTTACCTTTATTTTTTTTCAATACAAAAAATGAATGAAATACATCACCATGTAAATCCCGACATTGTGAAGTGGTTACGAATCTGTTTTTCACGACCAGAAATGTGGACAAAAAAAGAGGCCCACTTTGCAGTAAAAATAGACAGGATCAGTTCATAATCTAATTTACAACTCGGGAAAGGAAAAAAAAAGTTTTTCTAGTGCACCACTCAGTTGAGAAACCAGCAATTTTATGTTACAGCTGGTCAGTGTAGTATCTTTGTGCACGCCTCTTTCATTCATGGGTGAAAAACTTTCCAGTATTCAGCTCAAGAAAATCAGTGCCTGTCTTCTCAATGCTGTTGCAGATGAACACTATGAAAGACAAGACCATTATTCTCATTGCACTTCCAGAGATGAAAGTGTACTCAGCACATTTTAGAGTGCCCTCCGTCTACATCCAACGTGCAAGTGAAACCAACTGAGGATGTTTCCTCCATAAGTGCTGGGTGCACTTACAAGTATCCCCAGTGTGAAAAGGCTGCACTTTTCCATCAAAAGCTTGAGAAGCATGCAGTCCTCATGGTCTCCCTCTCCTGAATTGCTGCCACCTTACCTTCAGGAAGCCTGCAGCAGAAAGAAGATATGCATCTGAGAAATCTCACGGCAACACATGCTTATGTGGACCTGTCTTGGTGTGAAGCTTGTTCTGTTTTGGTTGTTTGCGATGACTCATGTCAGCTGAACAATTTGTTTGTGTAAGAAATCCTCTGGTTGCAACAGGAAAATAGAAGTACATGACATGACAATTGGACAGGGGAGGAAAGATTTATTGGGGTGTGTCATTTTTAGGAATAAGGAGGTCTGGACAGGGAAGTGGTAAACAAAACACAAAAAATAAATACTTAAGATGTGGCTAGCCCATGGGTTACTGATAAAACAGACAGCAATGTCTACACAATGTCTTCCATTAAAGAAACATACTGGCCACAGGGCACTGACAGTTACAAACATCAGAATTATCATTATCATTTTATTTTACGATCAAACACTGCAAACATAAAAAGGATTTATGGTATTTTTGGTCAACTATAATAGTGACATGATTCATTATTTACATTTCACATCAACTTTTTATTTCATTTTATTTCATTAACGGCTCTCACATGTATTTCCTTACATGACATTCTTTAACCTGATAAGGCCTGATAAGAGTTTTTCAAACAGCCCTCTGAGAGCGTCTGGGCCTGACAGATACTTTTTTCACAAAGGCTACACAAGCCATTTTATCAGATATCACTATTTTTTTCAAGCAAGGTATTATAGTATCAAGTTTCCAGAAACTATAGAACCTGTGGACAAGAAACAAAGCTACAGTAAATCATTCTGAACCATTTTTGCAGTGCTCCATATGAAAGTATAGTGATTAAGTAACTGAATTACTGTACATGTGATACTTTGAATGTATAATATTTAGCTTGATAGTGGAGAAAAGGCATGAAATGTGCATATTATTACCAGTTTATAATTAATGCTATCAATGCCTTTCACAGTGACTCAAATTCACAGAGAGTTTTGGCATCTATTACATAATCCACTTATTCCAGCATAGGGCACAAAGCAAAGACACCCCCTGGACAAAGTACTAGTCCGTTACAGGGCATATAGTCACACACTACGGGCAATTTAGAGATGACAGTTAGTTGAAATACGTATCTTTGAATTGAGTGAGTAAACCCACGTGGCATGGGGATAGCAAACAGACTGACATACACTCATTGAAGATGGAATTTGAAACTCAGGAGGTGAGAGGCAAGAGTAGGCCTTCTACCCACAAAGTTGCAAGAGTAGGCCTTCTACCCACAAAGTTGCAAGAGTAAGCCTTCTACCCACAAAGTTACTCCACCACACAGGTTACAGGGTCATGGTTTTTCAATCTCTCCTCATAAATATTCATTCCCACAAATATCTGATTTGTGGGAATAATGCAAGTAACTTTACATTAGCCGGAATAAACCATACAAAGTCCTTGAATTTGGACTAGCTAAGAAGGCATTTTAATTCTGTTGCACTATTAAAAGCAAACAAAAAAAAATCTTGCAAATAGTCCAAAGGTTAGTGTTTGATTGTTTTGGAAGGTTTCAGAAACTGCTACTGAACTGAACCAATCACATGTGATAAAAACCTGTATTTTGATGGAGTGAGGACAATCTGTGACTGTATTAAAAAAACTAAAAATGCCAGAATTATTTTGTTTAGATACTTAAGGTTAAGGTTAGGGCTAGGTAGGGGTTAAGATTGTCATTGCTGGGATTAGGGTTTTTCCCATATAAATGAATAGACAGTCCCCACAAAGATAAGAATACAAAAATATTTCTGTGTGTGTTTGTGTGTGTGTGTGTGAGTGTTTGGAGTAACACATGCTACATGGGTAATTTCTTAAAAGTACACAAGGAAGCCTCTTCATGATGCTTTACAATATGCATGACATTCATCATTCCATGTCGCTCTTACTGTACTGAAAATAATTTAAAAAAACAAACTGAAATAATATTTTAATGTATTTTTTAACTGAGTGACAGTCAGCTCTGCAATGCACAATTCAAAAATAAAAGCAAACAAATGCAAGGAAAATTAGTGTGTGCTCATATTGCTTTAATCAGGTCCGCAACATTACCTGGTACTTCGAACTATGAGCCATGCCATTAGTACAATGTGAAATCTATTTTTGTAGATTATAGAAAAAGCAAAGGCAAATTTGTTGATAGAAGTTATATACATTGGTAATTTGATGCATGTTAGCAATTTGATGTTTCCCCATTTCATTTAATTGTTTGTTTGTCCACTAGTTAATTTGAAAGTTACATTGTTAGATTAATAAAAAGCTGATCCAGAGAAGTGTGCTTAGAGATCCTTTTACATTTTATAAATAACAGTGAAAAAGAAAAAAAAATGCAAATGAAAGCACGACAACATGCAAAACAACAATGTGACAGATGTCTGACAGTCAAACAGGTACCTTATTATTCATGAAACAGAGAGCATGCCTTCCCTGTCTTCCTAGGTGAGACCAAATGTAATATTTCACTTAACACAGCAAAGAGTTTCCCTTTAAATTAACATACCAGTTGCCCCCACCCAAAATACCATGCCCTGAAGAAAAATAAAATGACGACAGATTAAAAGATGTCTGGGGGAGAGGTGCAAGATCATATGTCGATCTGCTGTTTGACCTTGGGCAAATAACTTTCCAATCAGTAAAAACTGATGATAGCACCATGATATACATGTGGCAGTGCATAATAATGGCAATGCATGATTTTTTTTTGCTCTCTCCACCAGCATGTAGTGTGTGAAATTTCTTATATTTCTTTTGAAATCCCTTTGAATTTCAATTAATAGACTTCCTGTGATGCTGTACAGACTGTCCCCAGGTTATGAATGAGATCCATTCCCTGAGTCTGTCTATAAGTCAAATTTTTAGGTAAGTCAGAGTAATAACTATACAATATAATAATAATAATAATAATAATAACAACAATAATAATAATAATAATAGGCTGTATGTCAGTCTGTTCATAAGTGCCAGTTGTCCGTAAGCCGTAATATCAATTAAAACCAAACAAATGAGCAAGTTAGGTAGTTCAAAATATCGACCCCAATTGAACCTTTATTTAACTGAGTGTACAAAGAAAAAATTTTCAGTGTTTTTACTGAACAACTTAATTGTTTTTTGTATATGAAATTTAGAATTTGATGCCTGCAACATACTCAAAAAAAACATGAGGACAGGGTCAAGTAAACCATTGCGTCACAACACCTTTCCTCTTAATTGCACTTTTGAATGTAACAGAGAATAATAATTGTTGCAAGTGGAATTTTTGCCCATTCTTGCTTGATACAAGACTTCAGTTGCTCAACAGTCCATTGTACCCATTTTCTGACTCTCCTCTTTAGGATGCACCATACATTTTCAACAGGAGACAGATCTACACAGCTGGCAGAGCAATCAAACGCACATACTCTGTGTATATGAAGCCATGTTGTTTTAGTGTGTGCAGAATGTGGCCTGGCATTATCTTGCTGGAATAACCATGGACATCCCACTTGAAGACGATGCCTTGATGGCGACATATTTCTCTCCAAAATCCCAACATACGCCTCCGCATCAATGGTATACATATGCAAGTCACTCACACTGTGAGTACCAATGCACCTCCATACCATAATACATGCTGGCTTTTACACCTTTTCCTGATAACAGTCAGGATAGTCCTTTGTGTCTTTGGCACAGAGAACTCAGTGTCCGTTTTCCCAGAAAATAAGCTGAAACGTGGATTCATCTGACCACAACACATGTTTCCAATGTGTTTCAGTCCATCTCACATGAACTCCCAGAGAACTTTGCATTGTTTCTGCATAGAACTGATGCATGGCTTCCTTGCGTAACAGAATTTCAGGTTGCATTTCTAGATTCAGAGGCAGACTGTGTTGAGTGACAACAGTTTTCCAAAGTGCTCTGAAGCCCATGTGGCTATATTTATCACAGTAGCAAGATGGTATCTCATACAATGCCGTTTGAAGGCTTGAAGATCACGCACCTTCAGCAGTGATTTTCTGGATTCCCTGAATCTTTTCACAATATTATGTACTGCAGATGGTGAAAGAATTAAATGCTTAAAATGCTTATTTTGAACTGATTGAAAATTCTCATAAAGTTTGACAAAAAGTGGTGAGGCACAACTCATCCTTTTGGCAAAGACTGAGCTGTTGATGGATACTTCTTTCATTCCAAATTATAACAGCCTTAACTGTTACCAAGTAACCTGCTTATTATGGAATGTTCTGAAAAGGTTTTATTTGAATTCTCTAAGAACTTTACACAGTTATTTTGCACCTGTCCCAATTATTTTTGAGTGTTGTAGGCATCAAATTCAAAAATCGTTTATATTAACAAAATACAGTCAAACTGGTCAGCATTGCATTAAAAGTGTTTTCTTTGTACTTTTGTCATTTAAATTGAGGTTCAGAGAGAATTTTCAAATTACATACTTTTAATTGCATTTTAGAAAATACCTGAACTTTTCCAGAAATGGGGTTTATCATACATGGAATCTATGTCAAAATGTTCTCTTCTGTATTTAACAGAAACAACATCAAAATGTAAAGACAGACACATATGTATTCTATTACCAGATATACCCCCATTATTTATTATTATTATTATAGATATACCCCAGTTATATTTCTCCATTTTCCACAATCTCTGTGCTCCACCGCCTTTGGCAATGGGGGTAAAATAATGCCAAACTAGCAATGAAAAGCTTCACTGAAGACATTTTACCCTTGGCCATCAAGTGCAGGACATCATAGAGCCTATTTGCAATATAAACAGTATGGGCATTGCTATAAACTTATTAAATCTTAAATGTGAAATGGATGCCTGGCTTTATAGATTAAATATTTTTGAGTACTTCCCCCATGTTTCTTACAGTTTCCTTAGGGTACTCCAGGCTCCCCCCCAAGTCCAAAAACATGCCGACAGGTAAATCACCATCAGTTTCTGAGCATGTGCCCATCCACTGCAACATCCCATCCAGGGTATCATATACCTCTGCCTTGTGCTT